CTTCTTACCCCCGACTGCCTCTCCCAAACTCCGTGACCCAGTCACGCTCGCCTTACACAGCACCCACCCTTCATGCTAGAAACGCTCCTTTCTCCTCTTTTCATCTGCTGGTGCTAATGGACACCTGGCACACTGCAGAAGATACCCTTGGCATCCTTTCCAGGGATGGTTCTCCCTCGATGGCCCGCTCCCCCAACACACGGGGTGCCAGGAAGACGGGATCAACTGTTCTTTTCAATATGTCCCAGGCATTTTAGGCTTAGCACAACATTTATGAAACTTCTCAGGGCCGGTCCCATGGTCACAGGGGAAGGGCTTCTAAAAATTGCAAAAGAGGAGGCTGCCAAGAGATTACTTTGGAAGAAAGACTGTTGCTGGCTGCAGTTAGAGAAATACTGACTGTAAGCTGAATGAGAGACCAGACAGAAGTACCACCTGGCAGCCCCTTCGCAGCTCAAGGAAAGGTGTTTTGACACCCCTCTCTCCTGATCTATCTAGGGCCAAGTCTGACCGTTTACAGGAGTCCCAACATGACGGAATGAGCCAAACGAAGCATCTTAGAGGAGAAGCTGACATGGAGATTAATGATGCCAACAGGCACTAAACCGGGTCTTTGAGGTTAAAAAGGGATCGTTAGTTAGCAGAGGTGATGCCTCGAGAATGACGGTCTCTGGCACACACCCAGACCTGAATTCTCCCCGGAATTATGCAAACCTTGTAAAACTCTAACTAGAACTTGAAGTACCAAGCCTGACCGGAAAGCAAAACAGAAGGGGAATTGGCCGTTTATTTTCTCAGCAGAGGCCAAGGAATGTGAGCCCATTTCCTCTCGGCCCCACCCCACATACCACACAAGCTCCCAAGCCCCAAAGCGTCTGTCACAGGCCACCTCAGAACAGGGCAAGGAGAGAGATGGGGCTTATCTGGGGAGGCCTCTTCACTTCCAAAGTGCCAGCTCCCCACCCTGATTTCCAATCCAAGCATCTGTAACTCTGAAGCAGCATATCAGAGCTAGGGAGGACGGTCGATGAGGGGCCTGACAGCACAGGCCTTGGAATCAAGGTGATGCTTCAGTGACTGCCACTGAATGCTGGAGCCCTAGCTACAGGGAGACGCTGTCAATGCCAGGATGCTGGAGCCCTAGCTACGGGAGACATTGTTGTTGCTAGCAGACAACAGAGCCCTAGCCATGGGAGACGCTGTTACTGCCAGTAGATGATAGAGCCCTAGCTATGGAAGACGTTGTTACTGCCAAGATGTTAGAGCCCTAGCTACAGGAGACATTGTTATTGCCATGATGCTAAAGCCCTAGCTATGGGAGACGCTGTCACTGCCAGTAGATGATAGAGCCCAAGCTATGGCAGCATTGTTCCTGCCAGTAGGCGACAGAGCCCTAGCCACGGGAGACGCTGTCACTGCCAGGATGCTAGAGCCCTAGCTATGGCAGCATTGTTCCTGCCAGTAGATGACAGAGCCCTAGCCACGGGAGACGCTGTCACTGCCAGGATGCTAGAGCCCTAGCTATGGCAGCATTGTTCCTGCCAGTAGGTAACAGAGCCCTAGCCATGGGAGACGCTGTCACTGCCAGGATGCTAGAGCCTTAGCATGGCTGCATTGTTCCTGCCAGTAGATGACAGAGCCCTAGCCACGGGAGACGCTGTCACTGCCAGGATGCTAGAGCCCTAGCTATGGCAGCATTGTTCCTGCCAGTAGATGACAGAGCCCTAGCCACGGGAGACGCTGTCAC